CACTTTGTCATCAATAAAGAGAAAAGCATGATTTAGTTGGGGACAGACAGTAGCATAGTGGTAAAACGCAACTGTCTATGAGGCTAGCTCACATGGAAAGGTTCCTGGTCCAGAGACCTCCCTGAATACTCCAGGCAACACTTGTGCCTATGATCCGGGCTGAAATTGGGAATAAATTGCAGTGCCTAGATACAGTTGGGGGTGCCTCCCTCCCACTGTCTTTCTCTCTCAGAAGAAAAATAAATAATCTTAAATCTAAAAAGATTAATTAAAAATTATTTAGAGGGACCATCAGCTGGCATGATGGTTAAGGGTACTGGACATCCACATTACCAACTACAGTTTGAGTCCTGAACCCCACTTTCCCTCTCTCTTACTCTCTCCCTCTCTGATCAAACTAAAATAAATAAATAAAGTTAAATAAAATAATTCTTAAAAAAAAAATGAAAGAAAAATTATTTAGGAAGCCTCAGACCCATGGCCTGCCTGGTGGTTAGGGGGCCCAGATTCCACATGACTGTCCACATGGTTTGAATCCTGGCCCAGTGGCTTAAAGAACACATCAGGTGCATTTGCAAGCATGCCCCAAATCCTGGAAGGATGGAGAAGTGGATAAAACATTGCAACATGAGTATGCCCCACTGGGGAATGCTTTCTTCCTTCTCTGTCTCTCTAATGAGCACATGTGCCCTCTGGCAAATTTTTTTTGAGAGGTTTTTTCACTATAGGGCGTGTGCGCTCTCTGTTCCCTCAGCACCTATTGGCCTGTCATGTTAGGAGAATAAGGGGACGCAGAAACACGCTTTAGCAGGGGTTAAAAAGAGGCCGCCTCTCAGACAGCATGCATGCAAGTTCTGGTGAGGAGCGTTTGACTGGAAGCTGGAAGGAGCTGCTGAGAAGTTGAGCTTGTTATAAATTAGGAAAAGAAAGAAGAAAATTCTCCCCTCTGGCTTTTTTTTTTTTTTTTTTTTTTTTTTTTAATGATATAGGGGATTACGTTGCTGGACTCCCACGTAGTTAACCACGGTTGAATCTTGGTCCCAGCAGCTTAAAACTCATGTTTTGGGCACGTGTATGGGTGTGTGCACGCACGTGTGCAAGTGTGCCCAAAATCTCAGAGAAGAATGGAGGAGAAGTGGTCACAGTGTAGCCATCCCCTCTGGGGGGAGATTTCTCTCTTTCCGTCTCTCTGTCTCTCCAGCAAGTGCACACACCCTATAGCAAAAAAGAAAATTATATAGGGAAAGTATACAAAAATTAAAACATTGAATTATATTTAGAAACAGTGTGTTCAAGGGCCAGCAGGTGGCGTGGTGGTTAAGACTGCAGTTCATGTCCTGGACCTGGCAGCTTAAAAATTACAACAAATAAACAGATAAATAAATAGGTGTACTTTTTTTTTTTTCAAGTAGTCTATCTAGCATAGTTTTATTTTTATGATTTCATTTCTTCCATTTAACTTTTTTTTAAATATTACGTTTCTTTTTTTTTTTTTTTTCCCTGTAGGGCATGTGCACTTCACCAAAGTGGGGATGGGGTGGAGGGAGGGCAGGGGAACGCCTGGCAGTGGTGACCACACTGCAGTCCCTTCTCCTCCCTTCTTTTCTTGAGATTTTGGGCACATACACACACGTGCGTGTGCACCCAGCATGATTTTTCAAGCCACTGGGTCCAGGACTGGAACTGTGGAGTGAGCTAGGTGTGGGATCCAGCTACCTTAAACTCCACATCACCTGCTGGCCCACTTCCCTTTTTAAAAAAATCTGTGATAGAGTCAGTACACATGTGAGAGAATCCCCCTGTACAGGGTGTGGTCGTGCTGTGGTCCCCTTTCTTTAGTCTTCTGGCCCACTAGGACCCTAGATATGCATACACATACATGCTGGACCTGTTTGACTAGGGAGAGACTCAAACCACAGTTGTCATGTGCTCCAGCTCTGTATTCTAATATACTATTGTTTGCACCACAGAAGCCAAGCCTTTTTGTAAAGTTTTTTTTGTTAGAGGACGTGTGCTCCCCTGAGAGAGAGAGAGTGAGAAAGGAATAGTCATCCTACAATCCCATCTCTTCCATATCTCCACTCAGAACTCTGGACATGTGTGCATGCACCTGGCACACTTCCCATGCTTCCAGGTCTGGGTCTGAAACTACATAGTTGGCCAGCTGCCCCAACCACTGACTGGCCTCCACGCATTTTTTTTTTTAAGTTCATAAAATTATTCCATGAGAAATAGTTTCGGCACCCCCAACAGAGTCCCATTGCCACAATTCATTCCCAGCCTCAGCTAGCCCTGGATCATGGGCCTACACGCTTGAAGGTCTCTGGACATGAACTGGCCATCTTCCCATGTGGGTCAGCCATGCCAGCATCTCATTTTACTTCTGTGTCACCTTCCAGCCCCCATTTGAATCTTTTATCTATTTCAAATGTATCCTGACATAGTCACAAGATGTTGCACATGTCTAGGTATGTGATCTTCTGATGCAGTTATACTTGAGACCTTCCTATTTTCTTTATGTTTTTTTTT